GGATCGTATATAAGGCCCGGGTCTGTTATATTATACTCATTTTATAAAATATATAATAGATCTGGGTATAGTACGTACACAGTTGAGCATTGTAACAAGGTAAACTTAAGATTATATGTATATGGGTCTAATTTACAGTGTCTATATCAAAGAGGATCTTGTATATGACATAGTATTTAAAGATCTAATAAATTTTTATTATAACCCGAGTTTGACGGTAATCTTTGTACCTGGGTAGACCCGTCTGTCTACTCGGGTTATCCGCGGGTCTACCCGTCGGGTAACCCGGGTTGTACTTTGTAAGACGGGTTCAATCACTAGTTGTGATAAAAGGTGATTTATAATTAATTTACTCATATATGATTTTTCTGTGCCCACCTAGTCAGTTAAAAAAAATAAGAATGACCTTGTTCAGCAGCACTACCCAGACAGAAGCTAATATATTGAAAACAGTATATTGATTAGACAGTGTTTTTAGTAAAAAATAACAAGGAACCAAAGCACTATGTCTTATTAATGATTCTAATTAGTTACGTATTATTAGTATAATGTCTTGAGGCATGTCATTTACAATATAATCTATTATTTGATGATAATTATGTAAGAATCTAAGAAATTGAGTTCTTAAAGACTGACAGACATATTGTATTTCTCTTATATATTGTTCAGAGAATTTTGCTTGATAATAGGCTCGATAATTCAGATATTATCTAAGTAGTTCTTGCTCATTTTTTCAAGATATTAGAGTCAACAATTGTTGATAGAAATAAGATTCACCATCATCAGCAATTAAGTGGTAAAATTGTACTAAGATGCTTTTTTTGTGTTTTATTACAAATCTTTCTTTTTGATTAATCCAATATGTTGTATTTAGGTTGGGATGATTATATTGCATTCAATAAAGTTGATAATAATAAGGATATGTAATATTATCAAAAAGTGGATCAATAGGTCTATTTAAAGACATTTATCTTATTTATCTAAAAGTGGAAATTTTTTACTGAAAAAATAATTACACAAAAATGAAGTAATAAATAAAAATTGATTTACTAGTTATTTAATGATTTAATATGAATAAATTTTTTTTATTTTTTAGAGCTAAATTTATTACAGAAAAAAGAAGATATTGAGTCATTGAATAGCTAGTAAATTGATTTTTATTTATCACATTATCTTAGATAGTTATTTTTTAGTAAAAGCATTAATTATTTATATAATTGTAGTTTTAGTATAATTATTTTGAAAAATATTTATTGATAGTGTCATCCTAATAAGGATTTGATTCATTATTTTCCAATAAGTAAACTGGTTTTACAGATTATGGTTTTATGTTAAAAGGAGAGAATGGTAGATATTAAACAGTAATAGAAGAACAGCAGATTTTATATTCAAGCAGAAAAATCATAAGTTTCATAGAACCAAGTCTTTGAGTTAGGATATAAGATTGATAAATATTATGCTCTCTTAGTTCAAATAAATTAGGTCTTTCTGGTTTTGTAATATACTTGATCATGTATTTTGCAAAGAATTTAGAACTAACATATTGAAAATTATAGTGTCCTTGCTATAACAGTAATGTTGGAGCATGATATTGAACAATTCAATAATCTTCTTCTTTTGTTCATTAATAAGTATATCATAAAGATGAAGAATCAAAATATATATAATATGATAATGGAGCCAGAAATTTTTTATTACATTGTCCACCAGGAAGTGGTGGCCCATTACATTTATCTGGATGATATTGATAAATTTGATAGGTATGCACTAGGTTATAAAGAATCGGTTCAGATACAAGATCAGATAAATATGCACAGATAACATTATGTTCTATTAATATTGATATTGATTTGTTAAGAAAAGCTATGCCATGTATATATATTGATTCTTGATTTTGAAATTCATCTCTTTCAAAATAATGCAACTACTAATCCCATTCTGCCAATTTAGGGGTTTTCCATAGTTATTTATGAATAAAATTAAATTTATAATGATAATGTGAATATGTATATATGAGGCAGTTTGTTGATATCTGGAATGGTCATCAGTATGCAATAAAATTTTTTTTAAGTGATGCCAACACTCTTCAGCCATAGTTATAATATAAAAAATTTGAGATAAGCCAAGATTTTGAATAATCGTATTGATAGAATATTCACATTAATGAAAATAAGCATTTTCTGTTCTGATATATAATAGAACTGTAATAGTTAATACTTCATTTATAATTGAATGATTGTTATAGATACTTTGATTAATCAAATCAGCAGTGGTTGAAAGTTGTTGAAGATTGATAGTTTTTTGTTATAAAATATATTGTTTATTTTGATAGTTCCTTAATTTTTCTAAATTAATATAAGAACAGTATGACCAGTACCAGTGAAACCAAAAGCATGAGTCTGGAAATAATATGTGTAATTTGATGTATTTCAATATGTGTCAATTCTGTATTAATTATTTAGTGTTTCTCTAAAGATCTCATTCTAATGACTATGATCATTTGGGAAAAAATCAGAAAAGAGAATAGCTTCTAAATTTGGGTCATTAAATTTAATTAGAAGTGTTGTATTATTAGAATTTACAATAAAACCCATCATTAATTTGTTGTAATGATAATTTTTATTGTGTATTTCAGGATTGAAATTTTCTAACAGTACTACTAAATTTGGGTGATGACATGAAGACCTGTTGTTATTTGTTAAATATGTTTGATCATTGACTAATCTGGTAAAAGGAAATGGTGCAGGAGGTTGAGTAATAAAAAAGGGTATAGTTATTTGATCAAATGGTCTAAATAGAGAATTATTGTTCTTTAACCAATCTATTGCATACAATAAAGAATTATAAAACCAGTTACTATTAATAACAGGATCTAGGATTGTACCTAATGTATCAGAATATAAATGTAAAGCATAAATATTTCTTGATAAGTCAAAAGCTCAGTAAGGTAATAGTAATTCGTGAATTGGTTTGAACTTTCTGCATGACTTAAAGAACAGCTTAAATGAATCAGAGAAAACCATCAATGATGATATATTGGAACATTATTTAGTTCTTCTGAGATTGGAACTAGTGTTGGAGCAGAATGATGTTTTGCAATATTTTTACATGATGCACAAACAGTAATATGATTTGGTTTACTAGGATGTTTAATAAGAGATAAAAATGAAAAAGTTCTAAGAAGATTGTAAGTTTTATTAATATCAAATTCAACCCACATAACTTGATTTGGAAACATAAGAATGGAACAGTGTAAACAGGAAATATATGTAAACATATACAAGATTTCTTTTTGAAAATGATTGTTAAGATGGTTTAAAGCCTGAGATGGTTGCCATGGCAGAAAGAATGTTGGTGTAGAATTTGATCATAATGTAGTATGTAAAGAAATAACATGTAAAAGATTTTTATCAATATTTAATGGCAACTCCTGGTTCAAAAGAATATCAATATTTGATCTATCATAATCATAATTATTATATAGGTCTTCGATTGTCATATGAATTATTTGATAAGACATAGCAATAATTTAATCCAAATAGGGAATTTTTTTATGTTAATTTCAAATTTTTGTTTTTTAATTTCAAAAATTAATTTTTGATCTATAGATTTCATGTATACAATATTTATACTTAAATTTTAAGTAAATTAAAACAATAGGATAAAATAAGTTGCAACGAAAAGTAAAATATCTTGAGGTGCACTGCATTGTATTAAGAATAAGATAAAATTCGACGTGTCAGCATTTAACATAAAATAGTCATAAAAAAAAAAAAAATACACATAAAAATATTATTGTATGCATGTTAAAAACCAAGTAAAATTTTAATATATCATTATTTAGCATAAAATAAGGTACAATAGAAAAGTAAGTATGTTTTTAAAAGTATTATTGTATAAGCATTAAGAGTATTATAATTTTTAACGTAACAGCACTTAACATAAATAAGTTGCAACGAAAAAGCAAAACCTTTAAAAGTATTATCATAAGCTAAAAATAATATAATATTTAACGTGTCAGTGCACAGATTAATTTATTGTGTACGTGTTAAAAAGATTATACTTATTACACGTATTAATACCAGAACATTTTACAGAGAAAAAAGTAAAACGTTTTTATTAAACATAATTATGTGATAAAATATTATAATCGATAAATATAAACATGGCAGTGTTAGAATATAATGAAAAAATGAATATTCTTAAATTCATTATTAATCTAATAATTATTTTATGTGAGAGTATTAGTATATTTATAGAAAAAACAAATGTATTACATTAGAATATTTATAGTTAAAAAGAAACTTTAAAAATTCGGATTAAACATCAACACACATTAACGTGCATAACGATATATATCGTAACATCATGCAATATATTTTTTAATTCTTGAAAACAGTTTGATTATTATAAATACTAATAATCTTTTAAAATAGCACTACGTATTATATTAAGGTCGTGTCAGATATTAGTTAAGAACAATTTCTCTTTTAAAGATGAGCAAAACTATTATATTCACACTCAACAGTATTTATAATACATAAAATTTATAATAAGCAACAAATACTTGATATTACTTAATATCAAGCAGAGAATATTATTATAGAGTGTGCTTATTCATGAAACCATAATAGTTTGATCAGAGGATCATAAAATTTTAGATGGTAACGATTCTATTATGAATAAGAACCCGCGACTATGATCTAATTCGGCACTTATTTACAATAGAATACGGTAAGTCTTAAGCGATTCTCACCTAGAACATTACACGTTCGTACATTTTTTCCCTTCATTTTACTTTCTTTTTCACCTTCCAGTTTAGTCAATCTGTTTGCTAAATGCATAAATTTAGACCCGAAGTTTCACTTACACATATTATCTTATGAATCAGCCAACATTTGATATATTTTTTATTAAAATTTTAATTATCGAATAATAAAATTTTGTGTATTACTTTATCTACTATATAACACTTTTAGATATTTATTTATACAATTTTACATCTATGCTATCGCATATTTTAAAAATTTACAAAATTTTAATTCGAATCGATGCAGTTATCTTTTTTTTCTTGTGCTTAAGCTCATACTTCCCATTTAGTTCTTCTCGGTTTCTTCTTTTTTATTTCTTGCTCTTTTTCGCTTTCTTCATTATCATTATCGTTTTGCTCATCGATGTCATCTTGTCTTTCTTCACTTATATTTTCAAACCAACCTTCTTCAACATTTTCGGTAGTTAAGTCAAGAGAATTCAATGCTAAATCAGATAATTTTTTTTTCCTTTTTTATTCGAAACAGTAGTAGTATTAGCAGAAACCATTTCTTGTAACTTCACAGCAGAGCTAGAGCTCACGTTACCGCTGGAGGAAACAAATACCGATCTTTGACACTTTTTCGGGGTTTGCGAAGTAACAGATCTAAATTCACCAGCAATTGAACTGAGATCTGACAGAGAGCTTGCGGCATTTGATGATGAAGTTTCGAAGTTACCAAAGTTTATATCCGAGGATGATAAATAATCTATATCGGTAGCTTCTAACGCAATAATGTCAGGTTTTTCGAACCTGATGAAACCAGACACCACAAATGATCTACCTATTTTTGGAGTTGAAAATTACATTTTACAACCTTACAAAACATGCAATTTCGCGAAAGTTTCAGTAACATGGATTTCATGTAAATTTCACATATAATATATAGCATTAGTGTTACAAAAAACCTAGCCAGTATTATTGAATTTCAGATTCTGCATGAAGTTTAGTGATCAAATCAATGTACATGAGATCTAACCAATCACACGGAATTACATGTTCAAGGGATTACAAATTACATGAAAACCATTTGATTGAAACTCACACAAGATCACGCAAAATTACTTAAAATCACCATAAATTCACAACTCTACCTATTTTAATATGGTCGCGTAAGTGTTCAAACCTAGTGGCTTGAGCGGGATAAAAAACTATTAAATCCATATGAACGTTATGAGCCGTAAAAGCATTATATACACGGCATTGAGCACCAAAATAAACGTTATCGTTATGAATTTTTGGGTTATTATTAACTTTCATAGGTGACATGAAATGTGGAATACAAAGAGGGATTTCATCTGCTTTAAAACCATTATCAGAAGCTCCAACATCAATAATGCTCGCATAAGCAACCATAATATATTCATTTTCCTCTTCAATCACAAATTTTCCAGAAAAAAACAGGATGTTACCTGGTGAGAAATCTAAACGGGGTTTATTAAATGGATGAAAATATTTCCATCTAACAAATTGAAAGACATCTTTATCAGATTGATACTTCGCTAGACCTTGTGTGTGCGAAGTTTTATCATCTTTTGCGACAATTAGAACGATCAGAGAAACATGTGATGGCATTTTGATTAAACATACAATAATGAAAACGAATCCTAATTTTATGATACGCTTAAAAAGTGAAAGTGTTTTACGATTTCACTAAATTTAAATACTAATTGTTAACATATTCACTAAGCGACTTATATCTTGTTATTTACCAAAATAACTTACGTTTTATGAAATGTGTCACAACTTTATAATATAAAAATTAAAAGATTGGCGCTATGATAAATAACCACGTTTGAGATTTTCAGCACAAGAAAATAAAAATAGAGCGCAGTTAACTCACGTGAGATGAACCAAAGCCTGATTTTTACCATTATTATTATTATTCAAAAAGAAAAAGGAAGGCAAATATTTACTTAAAAACATGCAAAGCCCTTATTTCTTTTTTTTTTCTAAAAATAAAAAATAACTATAAATACAACACGTAATCGATAGAAAAGTTTTCGGGGAACAGCACTAGAACTGATACGTAACGCTCAAGCACAAGTACAAGGTATACTATAAAAATGCGGTAATAAACAATTTCCTTTTCGGATAAAGTGGGTAATGTGGCTGCTCACAAGGATACACTAAAATATTAACCGACAAATCGAAATTCACAAGTTTAAGAACAACCCAAACAAAATTAGAAATAACCGGAAATAACTCGAAAACAAGCACCAAGTAAAATGTTAATGTCGTTAATTATGCACCTATACTAAAAGGGACAATTATTTTTCAAATATTCATTATTTGGAAGTGTGTCTAAAACGCATCAACAATTTACGTTAAACTAGGATAGGGACCTTGAAAATAATGACATATAGTATTATGTTTGCATTATCTTTAAGATCTCTATAACAATACTGTTTAACGTAAATTGTGAATGCCACCTCACGACATTTTTACTAGTACTCCAAGATCATTATTACTTTACAAAATTTTTTGTTTGATTGTTTATCGATATAGCTCCAAATAAGGCAAGGTATTATCGGGCCTATATTGTGTTAACAATGCTTAAAGATTATAAACAATACATAGATAAGCCTTATTGCACGGTTCTTATTTATGCTTCTATACTATTTTTTCTCGCTTATTGCCCAAATCTAAGTTCGGTGTTTTATATTTATTTTTGATTATATATTATTATCTGGAGAAGTCACATGGAACCTGACTTCGATTACTCCAAATTAGGGTAACTTGGCTACGTCGGCTACGTAGGCCATGTAGGGTAAGTAGGAGGCGTAGACGATGCGGTAGAAGTAGCAAACGTAGAATGCCAAATGTAAATAAAGAATTATATTATAAATAAAGGCCGTGAAGGCCCTAGAGGAAAGTGACCTCAAAACTCCGCCTTATCAAAATAATATCTGACCCTCTACATAATAATTAATATATAAAAATCTCCTTTGCTACATTAAATAATCGCTAAATCCCTGACCATATAAACCCGATTTTTGTAATTACATTTTCTCATCGAAGTATTGTTACATTCCCGTCCGGCTGTTGTATCCTAAAGTACCAAGATCAGCCGTAGTTACTCGAGTCCAATTATCCGAAGAAGTGTGATAGTTGTGATTATTCGTTTAAGTCCAATTACCCGAGGTAAAGTGGTAATTAAAGTTATAGTTAATAGAAGACTCAAGATAGGAAAACCCAAGACAAGTAAAGAAGAAATACTTACCTACGAACGCCAAACCATCGACCAAATCTAAACGCCTCTTTCCGACTAAGCCAACCGTAAGTTACACAAGAATTTGAACTGTCGAGAGACTGACTCACCGTTTTACCCGCCTTCAATACCTTTTTTATTCTTTTAACGTTACACGAATTTTTAGACTATTAAAATTACAAAAGTAAAATCGTTAGTTAACAAAAAACGTGAAGAAAATGAAAGAAGTTTTGTGATTGTAGTAAAGCTAAACTTTATGAAATGAGTAACTTTAATTTGAAAAAATAGTATAAAAGTACAGGCTACCTCCGTTAATATCAATATCGTAATATCAACCTCCTGCTAATATTAATCTCTTATTAAGAAAAAATAGGCTCAGGTTATATAAAAACCATCCCACTGTTATCAACCAGTGATGCGGAAGAATCATCCCAATGATTGCCGTAACTTACTACTTACTATAGTTATGGCGAATTACGACAATGTGACGATTATCATTGGGACGATTCTACCGCATCACTATTATCAACCCTCACATATATCAACATAATTGTCTAATCCAAATGGTTTGATATTAACGAGGGTAGCCTATATAATAATAACCTGGAATAAAATAGGTATTATCCACATAAGCGGGCAAAAATTAAATGTGAATCGGTGATCATATAATGATGGAATGACCACTGGCTGCGAAGCAGCTAGTGTGGCAAACCCTTCATTTTGATACTTCTGCACCTAAATTTCGCTATAATAACACGCAATATTATTGTTAGTTTTAGCGTATGTTTAGGGTGCATCAAAAAATGAATGTTTTGTGCCAGTGTGCCATTCTGTCATTATCCAATCACCGATCCATATTTAATTTTTGTGAAGCTTGCCAAAGTATTATTGCGAGTTCAGATGACCTTATGGGTCACATATTTTTGTTGTTAGCCTTTTTTTGGTTGCTTTGAATAAATTTTAGAAATCTCGTTATATGCAAGTAATTCCCGGTTTATTGTTGTGATCGCATATTATTGATTGTTTTTGTGGTTGTCCAGAACGAAGCGACGGACTTATACTTCCATGCGCTTTGATGACCGAAATTGCAATTTTGATACATTTATAATAGAAATTTCAAACCCGTAATTTAGTCTGAATGCCTCTGAAAAATTACATATTCAAGGGCTGAGGCCATTAATCGAACATTTGTTATTATCATTGTTATCGGTATAATAAATTTTAGTCTCCGGACTTATGCCGGTTTACGGTTCCTAGTTTATTATGAGTATTAGTGAAAGGTGGGAGGAATCATATGGGGGACACTTGAAGAATACTGAACCCAGTGATTATTCATCACGTGAAATCATGTAATAGCATCATTTGTTTACTAACACTATCAAATCGACCTAAACTATATAATTACCTAACTCTAAACTAACTCTAATTTAGGCCAAATATTTAATAATGTGATGTGATGATCACAATAAAACATGCAAAAATATGCAGCATATTTTTACATATTTCATTGTTTAAAAGTGTGATATTAGTCGACTAAGGAAAGGAGTTATGGTCAGTGCGAGTTATTTAAGGTGGATTGTCTTTGGTCTTTGGTTAAGGAAGTTATCTTTTTCTTCGCTATCGCTCGCCTTGTAGAAGGCTGGCTTGTTCGTCCCGCCCTTTACCCCATTAGTATACAATTTATGTCGGGCTCCAAGGCTACAATCATAGTGCAAAGACCTAAGTTTCTAGTTTAGTGGGCTCTGCGGCTGTGGTGGCAATGCAAGTATCCTATAAATATGTGTATATATTTCAGAGCTTCGCGGCTATGTAGTAGCGCAAGGACCTCTACATTAGTGACCTTTGCCATAATGTGATTCACAATTTGGTTCAAGTTAAGAGTCGTTAATTTCAGGTAGGCGTAAACGCGGTTGGATTAAGGTTTAGGCGAGTTTGATTGTCGTATAGGAATAATGTAAGGTTTAGATACATAATAGTTATTGAGAATGTGAAGCGTGTGTCGGTAGCGAACAGAATTCCAATATGTTTTTCATCTTTGTCCAATAAAGTGGTCGAGCTATAATATTACATTGACAATATCATATTCTTATTCCATTCTAGTTCCTATAAAAAAAACGTACATTAGGTTAACCATTTCGGAGGTTACATTTACTCAAGTACAACATATTACAATAAGTGTCAATTTCAGTGATTTTAATTAAGATTTATTGATGAAATCTTCTGAAATATATTCAGCGAATTATTGTGATTATAGGTGCAAAAGCAAATTATTGTAATTAGAGGTGGAAGTCGAATTACGAATTATAGTGATTCTAGATGCGGAGGCAAATTATTACGAACAAAAATATTTACGTCACTATGTTATTATCCAGTAAAGTACTACATGAATATGGATATATTTTAAACTATCAAAAAAATATATTACTGTGCCTAGTTAGTAACGCTATCTTTTCTTATTTTATTTTTTCAGGTAATTCTCCTTATCACTATCCGAAAAAAGGTCAATATTAATTTTTAAAGTTTTTTAGCTTAATCAAGTTAATTCCGCTCTAGTTACACACAAATATCAACTAATAATATTGTAGATTTTGCAAATCACCTGTACACCGGCCAATCAGATTGCAAAAAAAAGTTGAGGGATTAACAGTGATTAAATGAATATATTGGAAAGTGAAGTAAAAGCATCAATTCATCCGTTATATTTAGTCGCATTTATCGATAGTAGGCTACCCAGCTTTTTAAAAATAAGTATTGTAAAACGTATAAAAAAAATTTGCTATTATTTGTGTAACTACCGGGTGACTCAGGCGATTATTCTATATTTGGGACGCTCAAATTTTTATCCGGACGTGTAAAAGAAGAAATGCGAAAATACTCGGTCTTAGTGCACTAATTAAAAAATGTCGGAGACGAAATTTCACATATAATGGAGCAATAGTCTATGACCATAGCTTCTAATATCAACATTCTAACCCTAAATTTGTGTTTTTTACGCACTTAACAAAATCAAATTTCCTTTTTTGGGCGCAAATAAGTAAATCCGACTAATTATCGCAATCGACAACCACTTGATTAATTTCAATGAAAATTCTTTTTATTTGAATTTTATGAATCCATAGAATTCAAGTAAAAAAATATCCATTGAAATTTATCAAGTGGTTGTCGAGGTATCTTCGCACAAACTTTAGAATGATTGTGATTCAATTGCGATTGTTGAATGATGTCACCCCCTTGAGACAATAATTTTGCAAATCACGGTAAAACAAACTTATATGCAAACAATTAAACCAATTTTTAATACAATTGTTATGCAAATGTATTGATGAATATCACTCTTCGTTAGGAATTTATTATACGAAAGTGATGGATATTGAAACCTAAATCCTCTCGCGGTGTTAATTCCTTGAACTTAAGAATAACCTAAAACAAATTATAATTTATAAAATTTTGAAATTTTAAATGCAAAAAGAAAAATCTTCACGACAAGTTAAAAAGCATGCTTTTTTAATCTGTTTTATGTTATTCTTAAGTTCAATGAATTAATACAGCAAGAGGATTTAGATTCCAAAAATCCATCACTTTCGGATAATAAATTTTTATTGAAAAGTTATATTCATTTGTTTAACAATACATTTTCATTAAACAATTGGCTTAATGGTTTAATTATGGGTCAACATTTAGGTTAGTTGACCAACCACCCCCAAGAAAAACTAAGTAAAGCCGAATTGGAGGCACAGAGGCCAGTACTGTTAATATCACTATTTGGACTTTTGAACTATTGTTATTTACCCAGTTTAAGTCAAGCCATAAGATATCGGATTAGATAAATAATTCGGAAAGCATAGGCGCGTTTTGGTCATGTGATTGGAAGAATTCCGACAGCCAAAGGTGCCGGAAATAAATTTAATTAAAGGACTTTAAGTCCGCAGAATACATTGAATTAGTAATTTTAAGTAATTAGTGATTTTAAGTAATTTGAACTGAAACTATGATATGCTCCCGGAAGATTAGCAAATGAGATTGTGCCAGGTATCATCGTAACAGTAGAGCAAGCGAGAAGCAGCATCAGCCGGTGGTTTCCCGCCTGCTCGAAGCAGGCCGGCTGTTAAATAGTAAAATGGCAGAATCAGGAGACTACAATGTGGCAGGAAGGGATGGGTCGAGAAATGCTGACAATATGAATTGGATGTTCGATGAGGGAAGAGTGCGTTAACAGGCTCTTTTTCTCTCGACCTTTATTTAAGCTTTTCGGTGGCTCGGGATTACGTAACATGTTCTAGTGATCTTGCGCTGATTGCGTCTCGCATCAACTGTCAGCGGAGTAGGGGTGATGTGGGACCCTTGCCAAATGCTCCCTATCTTTTCGATATGTTGACCCTCGTTAACCTACATTAATGTCCACCGATATGCATGGCGTATGCATAGTTCTGTAAATATAAAAATCTCCTATTGGTTTATAATCATACAATTACACATTATAGATATCAGCATGTTCAATTGTATTGAATCAGTCAATTGATTAAATAATCAATTCATTAGTTCAAATAGTTAATTAACATTTGTCTCGTTTAAATTAACAACAATGACAGAGGCTGAGATGTGGTTACTGATAAGGAGGACACCAAACGTAGCTCTATTCAAGTTTACCCTCATAAGCATGTCTTTATTAAAGGTTCGATGAATGCTTTTGTAAGCATGCCTACTTTTAACTCGTGCTCTAACCATCCTGAATGACTTGAGTTGTACGAAAGTATAGAGGTTTTTGCATGATATAATAATTGATAAATCAGAATCAAGTAATCAATATAAAATAATTTTAACGCATCCTAAAGATAAGTGTATTGCAAAACTGTTGAATTCGGAAACAATAAATCAGAATAAGTAAACAGTTTAAAGAATTAATTATTACTCCCAGCGAACAATTTAAGGGACCAATTGTTGATTATTCTCAGTTAACATAAAATATAAAGCCAAATTATACCTACCACATTATAACATTTCTATGTATTAAAACGTAATCAAGAGCAGATATTTAAACGAATTCCGTTAAAATAATACTATGAAGCCAAAAACAATATATAATAAATTATATAAAAAAGATTACCGAAAAGTTAATTACATATAAAAAATTTTTTAATAAATGTTTCCATTTAAGGGTTCGTACTAAAATCAATTGTACTATTTGTACAACATCCCGTTGCTTCACTTTATAAATAGTACGAGTTTATGCACGTTAAATTTCCAAAATATTAACGATATGGAAAGTAGCTCCAGCAACGAAGATGTCAGATTTATTAAGCAATTACAAGATAATAATATAGACTCAATCGACTATTCGGAAATCACAAATCCTAAATTAGTGAAATTAAGAAGCTATGGAATTACGCTGAAAGGTTTCTGGCGTGAAAAACCAATCATTATGAAACATATTTCTAAAGAAATGACCAATAAAGATAGTGAAACTATACAGCAACTTGTAAGTATAAGATGATTTAATGACTTTATTCTATCGGTTAATTAACTGCGTGTTATTTTAAGATATATAGATTATGTAAAATAAATCATCCAAATATACTTAAATTCCTAGGCACTTCTATAGGTAATCATATGTTTTTTGTTCATTCGAATTAAGACTACTGTTCAAATTGAATAATAGTAACAACTCGAATTATTCGAATTATTCGAATTATTCGACTTATTCGGATTATCCGAATTATTCGAATTATTCGAGAATGAATTTTAAACACGGATAGGATTAATTCTAGCCTCATTAAACGATATAGATACCCAAGTAATAAAATAATTCGCATGTTGCTGATAACAAATGCTTTGCAAGCATGTGCCGAATTTGTAAAATAATTCATCCTAGCTGCAAAACTACCGTATTTTGCGGGCCAAATCACCCCCTGTCGGATCATACGGAAATTTCCATGGTGCATATCAAATTAATAGCTTGTATGTATAGAAAAACAATCGCCAGTAATAGACAATGTTATACATAATACAGTATAATAAATATATTATGCATCCGCATGCACCATCGAAATAACCGGTAATTATTTTACAAGTGGCCGCGAAATACGTTAAATTCATCAAATTTGTTGTCGAAATCAGTCCTTCATAGCAAATTTGATTAAAAATTTTTTAATCAAAATTCGATAAAATTTTTATTTCAATTCAGAATCAATTAAATTTTGTCAATTTCGGATTAGGCTACTTATATGTAGTCAAAATTATTTCAGCTCCTGTTCAATTATCAGCCTCATGTCATAGCTGAAATTAAAATTTCGATTACATATATGAGGTACTTTATCAAAGGTAATACAAATGAAGGGTTTGTTTATTACATCATTAAAAATTTGGTTACATTCGTATCGTCTCACGGTGAAACTGCAGGACCAAAAATATTATACCATTTCGAAATTAAAGTATCCTCCAAACATAAGTACCACCTGTATATTTTGTCCTGTTTTATAACAATTTTTGTTAGCATTATATGCAAAATTGGTGCTTATAGTCGGAACATCGCAGCAATAATATAGTAAATAGATTCGCCCAAGTAGAAACAAATATTTAAGAAAAAAGATGCATTTTCTCGGACTAACATCCCAGCATATTATAATAATATAAATTCACTAATAAACACTTGTTTTATTCAAGATTTGGAAACAAAAAGTTTCTTCGGAGTGTTAGAATACGTAAGCAATGGTAATCTTCATGATTACCTGTCTAAAAATAAAAATTTGGAATGGATTAGGAAAATTCAAATCTCGAAAGATATAGCTTGTGGTTTGGAATATTTGCATGATAAAGTTGACATAATTCATCGAGATTTGGTAGTTTATTTTTCTCTAGCTATATGTTAATCATCATTATTATTATCATTAATGCAAATCTTTTTTATTTCAGAACATAAAAACGATCTTAATAACTGATGAAAAAGCTCAAATCTCGAATCCTGTATTTTTGGAATTAAACTTTGACTCTTCGTCCATATCATTACAAGAAGAGATGATAGGATTTACAGATCCTGAGCTTTTAAAAGATCTAAGTTTACAATTCACAAAATCGTCCGATATTTACAGCCTTGGTATGATCATGTGGTCAATTACAAGTGGAAGACCACCATTTGTAAATTATACAAATCAAGCAACTTTGGTGAATTTAATTGTATCAAAGAACATACGTGAAGGTCACATAGAAGATACACCACAGGAGTACATAGATTTATATGAAAAATGTTGGAAATTAAGTTCAAAAGAACGACCAACAGCACAAGAAGTGTATACCAGACTTACTCAGCTT